TTTTATTCCTCAGCAGGTTTCTTAACTGCTCTATGTCCACAGTTCCTCATAAAATCGGGTTATACCAGAACCTAACTTGTAGGATTGTTGTGAGAATGATTTAAGTTAATAAATGCAAAGTGTAGCTGCCAATGGATGAACACATAAAGAAAATGTCATACACACACACACACACACACACACACACACACACACACACAATGTAATATTATTCAGCATTAAAAACTAAGGAAAGTCTGCCATATCCAACAACATGGATGAACCTGGAGGACACTATGCTAAATAAAATAAGACAGAGAAAGACAAATACCGTATTATCTCACTTATATATGGAATCTGAAACAGGCCAACTCATAAAGGTAGAGAGTAGAATGGTGGTTGCCATGGACTCATGGGGGTGGCAGAAATGGGGATATGTTGGGTAAAAAGGGTAAAAACTTTCGGTTATGTAGGACAAATAACTTCTGGAGAGCTAATGTACAAATGGTGACTATAGTTAGCAACACTGTATTGTATAATTGAAATTTGCTAAGAAAATAGATCTGAAGTGTTCTCATCACAAAAAAAAAGGTAACTATGTGAGATGATGGATATGTTAATTAGCTTGATTGTGGTGATCATTTCATAATGCATACATATATCAAAACATCACATATTACTCCTTAAATATATACAGTTTTGTCAATTATACCTCAGTAAAGCTGGGGGGAAATGCAAAGCATTTAGAATAATGTCTGGCACATAATATATGTTGGTTAAGTGTTCACTGTTGCCATTGTTGTTGTTATTATTTTGTTATTATTAAGTATGTACTGTAGATGCTGGAATACAATAATGATAAAGACAAATCCAGTCCCAGCACCATGTGCCTTCCCTAGTATCTGAGATAAAACCAGGTTGTCAGGCTAGGGGTGAGTAGCCAGGGCCCCCTCTAAAGAGCTAGGGAGAACCTTACTGACAAGCAAGTGAGGCAGTCTGCAGTCCTGAAGAGTTGCATTCTCCAGATTGTAGCATCTGTCATTTGTATAAAATGTCCTGCAGTGTTTTATTAAACCCCATGAATACCCAGTGAGGCCAAATTCAAACAGCTCCCAGCTGTTTCAGTCATGTAATGTGAGGGACAGGGGTGGGCTCCTTGTTGGGGCTATGGCTAGGGCCACGGCCAGGGCCAGAGTGCTTTGGCTGCAGACTGCCAAGGCCCTACTAGAGAAGCACTAGCTCCCTTAATCTCCTCCAACTTGGATGAGTGGAAAGGAAATGGAGGAAGGCTGCCATCCTATTAGAAACAATCCCATTTAGGCAGATAACTTGTGATGACCCAAATAGCATCTGTGATGAGCACCTATTCACCATGTCCCTTTGAAAGCACTCAGGCCACAATTAACAATTGGCATTTGGGCATTCTGGTCCCAGTAGTACCACAGGTAACTAGGGCTCAGGAGGGCTTTGCCCCCTTGTTATGTGTAGAAGCTGAGCAGAAAAACCTCTGAAACTTTATCAGCTGTCCTTCCCTGGATAACTCCTAAGTGAGGAAAGACCAAGGAAGGCTCAGTGCTGGGCACAGCCTGAATGGACAGAAAAAATTAAAAGCTGTAAAACAGAACTAATGCAAATTCACTAGTGTGGTAACTGAGTGCCAATTGTATAAGGGTCTTCATAGTCAGTGCTAGCATTCAAAAAAGGAAAACCATAGTAACTTGAGCTGGATGGTGCAATCAGGGAAGGCTGCTTTGAGGAAGAAGAATGTATGACTTTGATCTTGAAGGCTGGAAGGATTGAAATAGGAGGCTTCTTTGGGGGCAGAGAGGGGATGTTAGTGTGAACCTAAGTATAGATCTGTGATTTTGGTGAGTGAGTGGCAAACAGTATTTGCCATCCACCACTACCACCACCCCTACACTGAAAGGGTATATGGAATTTCCAGAGACAGTGGGGTAGCTATGTAAATTTTAAAATATTCAGAATTACTTTTGCTGTTTTTTTTTTCAGTCACAATATTTAACTTATTTTGAAAGTTTAAATGAATTAAAGGAGGCAGTGGGATTTTTAGATTTATCAAAAGGAGTTTTAAAGAGCTATGAAACACTGATCTAGAAGAAAGAAAGCTCAGCACCATGTTTATCAGACAAGGCTGGCCTCATGACCTGGAAACTGAATGTTTAGATTTGAGCTTTACAATTTTACAAGGTGAGAATGACTCTCCTAGTTTTATAGTTGAGGAAATCGAGGCTCAGTGAGGTTAATTCATTTGCCCAGTACAACACAGCTAGTTGGTTAAGCAGCTAGGATTCAAACTCAGAACTTCAGGCTCTAACTCATGTTATTTCCACCATTCCATGCTGCTTGGTGGCCTTAGCTACCCTTTCTGGTTGGATTTTCTGAACAGTGGATCATTCTTAATCATTCCTATCACATTTCTACACTTGGCTTTATGACTAATCTGATGCCTGAAAACTCACATTCAACGCTGGGGAGCCAGAAAGGGCAGGCAAAAGGAGAATTTTAATGACACATCCCTCTAGCCCTGCTCCCGTGCCACAAACATTGAATTCTTTCTCTTTCCTTATTATCGTTAAATACCTAAAGAAACAATAGGAGGTTCAGTTGATGCTTTAAATTTACCTCCAAGATCGTATACATTCTTTCCATTTTTGGAAACTAGTAAAGATTTTTAAGGCTAACAATGATTATGACGTTCCAACTCAGAGGGAAAGGAAGCTGCAGGCTGAAGTTAGGAATAGAGGGAGGTTGAGCCTACCCATGTTCTAGCCAGGTGGACACCCACCTATTAGCTGTGTGGTCCAGGTCTGTGTGTATTTGTATTATGTATTGTAAGGCAGGTATCAAGACTTTACAAGATCAAAGTAGTTTACATTGATCCATTCTCCTCAGCTTGTTCTGCTTTTGTAGTTATATTAGCCTGACAGGGCCTACTTTTTATGCATATGTTTCACAAAGTGTTCCTGGGGATTATGGAAGTCAGCGCATGGGCGCCACCACATCCTTTTGGCAGGACTGAGCTTGTCCACTTTGAGCATGGTGAAAGGAATCCAGGCTCTGAAACAAGCTTGGAGCTACATTGTCCCACTCCATACAGCAGACCTCTCTCTCCTATAAACTTGATGCCAAGGTTACCCAACAGATCAGAACCCATCTGTACTCAAAAGCCTATTTATATGCATAATCACTATGAAAGGAAGAAGAACACCATGATTGTTATTTTTTGCAAAGCAATTTATCAACACCTGTATTTCCCAGCCTGGGGCTTTGAGATTGATAGAGCTATGCTGGGAATCCTTAAAGACAGCCTTCCCCAGCCCTACAGAAAAGTGGAGTTTACCATGCAGTGTGAAGAGTTAGGACTGGGAATGTGAGTGGCCAAAGGCAAATTCTTTGCAGGTAACCTGCAGCTGCGGACTGTGAGGCATGTCAGACAATTCAGTAAAATGGGAATAGTTTAACCAGACCATGTAATGGTAATAAAAATTAATGAACATTTCTGACTCTATCAGATAGTCTAGAAGGCCAAATATAAGCAGAGAGGAGGGAGAGTTGGCCAGAAAGGGCCCCTGCTACTAGTAGAAGACATCTGTCAGAGCAGGGCTCACTGGGGCCCTCCTTGGACAGACTCAGCCACATCACATGCAGCAGTAGGTGTGTTTTCAAGGGAAGCTGAGGGCAGTGCTGAGAGGAGGAGGGGCTGAAAGACCATTGTGAGACAGTTACTTATCAGACCTTACATTCCACAGACCCACAGGTCATTTCATCCACCTCTCTGTTTTTCTTTTTTTAACTTATGAAATTCTTGATATTCAAAAAGATATAAAAACAATATAATGAGCACTTACTATCCAACTTAAGAAATAAATCATTACAAATACAGTCTTTATCCTCTCCCTCTTTTCTTCCCTTCCTTTTCCTTCTTTCTCACTTGTCCCCATTCTCCTCTCTGTACTCTCTTGAATTTGGCATGTATCATTGTTGTATATTTTTACATAATTATTGTACATATGTATGTATGCCTAAACATTAGATGGCATTGTTTTGTATGTTTTTAAACCTTATATAAATGGAATAGATATAGATGAGATAAAGCTATATAGAAAAGAAACCAGGGGAATGATGAGCATGTGATTCAATATGGAGGTTGCCTTGGCGTCGTAGCTTTTGGAATGAGCAGTGGGTTCACCAAAAGTTAATACATCATTAAAAGTAAGTAAGTAAGTAAATAAATAGAGAAATCAGAGCACTATGCATTGAGTAATGATGAGTGTCTCATGGACTGAGAATTGGGATTCACTTCTGCGTACCCAAGAACAAAACAAAAATCATAACAGATAGGAAATATACTATTTGTATCCAACTACAACTTTTATTTTTCTCACAGAATAAGATTTGTGAGATTCATCCATGCCAATATATGAAGCTTTATATTCACTTTCCCCCCATTTCTCCTGCTAGACTAGGCCTTCTCCAAAACTCCCCAGAGTGCTAAATGTTCAACCTTCCCTAAGTAATCTTTCCTGGCCAGCAGCCTGTGGCCACCTAGCTACTATTATCACTCATCTCCCCTCTGATATGTAAGTCTCATTGGCTTGCTTGGATTCCTGAGTATACTGCACGCAACCAACCAATTCATTTCATACTTCTGGAAGGCTTGCAAATATTGTGAAAGAGGAAAAGCCCTTGCTAACTGTGCTTGTGTGACTTACTGCTTCCTACTTCCCATCAGCAGTCTTGCAAACACATACATGGATTGAGGCTGAGGTCTGAGACAAACCCTATGGATGTAAGCCAGAGGCTTTCTCTAAGAGCATCTAGTTAACCAACTATTAGTGTCATACACTAAGCTAACCTGCCCAAATTTAGACCAAACCACCCCTCATTGATACTCCAGAACAATGGCAACGTTAGCATCCTGCTACACCCATGTGCCGAGTCTCCTGGTACCCACTCTCCACATACCTTCAACAAAAAGCCTTCTCTTTCTTGCTACCTAGGACCTGATCCGGAGAGACATCCTGTACTACAAAGGCCGCATTGATATGGATAAATATGAGGTAGTTGACATTGAAGATGGCAGAGATGATGACTTCAATGTCAGCATGAAAAATGCCTTCAAGCTTCATAACAAGGAAACTGAGGAGATTCACCTATTCTTTGCCAAGAAGTTGGAGGAGAAGATACGCTGGCTCAGGGCTTTCAGAGAAGAGAGGAAAATGGTGCAGGAAGATGAAAAAATCGGTAAGTGACCTGAGAGGAGAAAGAAGAATATGGCTATGAAGAACATAGTGAGTTAAATTAGTTTTCATTTTTTCAGAGGCAGAGAAGATTTTTGTTGCAAACTAACCTAATCCACTTTGGTGGTCCCCTATTATTAGGTTATTTTTGGTAGATACCAATAGTTTCTATTAGTCAAGGTTAAGTGATAGAGGTTGGTCTCCCCTACATTCTCATTACTAGATAAGATTATTACACTGAAATAAAACCTCAGGCTCTATTCTCCCAAACATACAAAAATTTATTAGCAAACAAACAGAAAAGCAGTCATAGAGCCTGTTCTGCATTTTCAGTGAAGTCCCAACTCTGTCCTTAGATACATAACAAACAGCATCTTCTGTAAAAAGGTTAGGTTGGTCGAGGCAGATTTGGTAACATATAGGATTCAGCTAAGTTCCTAGTCAGAGTCTAGTGACAAAATCCTCTGACAAGGGCCAAAATATAGTACCCATTTTCAATCTTAAACTTCAGGCTTCCTTCTGAAGTGTATGTATAGGCTGTAGGGTTCACTGAATTCTTATACCTAGTTCTTGTGAGGGCTAAAGTGCCTGTAAGACTTTTGTGGCCAGGGCACATCTTGCACAGCATTCTTTTTTTATCAGTGAAAATTCATTTTTAACATGTATTAGGCTAATTAGGCCTCCTGCATTAAGGTGACTGAACTGCTCCTCTTGAGTGTATATTCCAGATTAGGGCATTTTAGATGTTAACTAAATGCCCCTAGAGTATAGATTAAAATTAATGTGCATGTGTATATCATGCACTCTTTATGAAAGTCTTTTAAAGTAAATTATAGAAAATATAACAGGGTCTAAAACCATGACCACTTGCACGATTTAGAATCATACTAAACTATACTCTTTGGCTTGAAATAAGTTGTTTTCCTTTCCAAAGGGAATATAGCTGGTAGAGATACTTTTTATGCTGCTTTCCAACTGTGGGATTTAGGCTTTAGCTTTGTGGTTTACAAAGTACTATCTGGTCTCTTACTCATGGTCCTGCCTTTCTGGCATAAAAATACCAAACAACCAGGCATTGAAAGTTCATGAGAAGACACTAGAATTTCTGGTTTTGACTCACTTATAAGGGAGGAGAATTATACCTTAAAACACCTGTATGTTCAAGTTGGTAGAAACTGCCTCTAGAAAAATGGGCCTACCATTTGAGCCCTGGTGCAAATGTATTCTCCTATCTGAAGTGTTAACGATTGAAATGGTCCAGAGGCAAGGAAGGATAATCAGAAAGACACTGCTTAGTCTTATCCTAGTCTTCTCAGGTTTAGGGTAGAGTGCATATTTATAATTCACTTTAAGTCCCATTGGAGTCAATTTGCTTTCAGTCTATGGGCACTGCTTTGGGACATAATGTGGAATCATTACAGAAATGCTACTGGCTGCTTCTCCCAATGGCAGGCGCCAGCAACTTCTGACCCTGTCTAGGTTGTTAGTGCTATTAGAGGAATTGCCTTAGTGTGCTTTTTGCAAACCCTAGATCAATTTGAAGATTCATACCATTCCCTCTGGTTCCCACACAATATAAAAGCTTCCAGAAATTACTTCCTGACAGCTTATGTTCATCTTTTTAAAAATATTAAGGTTTTTGGTCTGATTATAACAGTAAATCATTTTCATTGTAAGCAATTTTGGGGAAAGAAACACAAAAAATACAAGAAAAAAACTAAAAATCACACATGAACATACTACTCAGAGATAACTTTTGTAAACATTTTGATATATTTCCTTCCCATCTTTTTTTTTCTATGTGTCTGAAAACAACAACAACAAAAAAAAACTAGGGTGGCTGAATCTTTATATCTGTCTCCTTCAACTTCTGCCACTTCTTGATGGATAGATATAATTTTATGTCCTTATTTTTCACTAAAAATTATATCATTATCATTTCTCTAAATCATTTACTATTTTAATTATTATGTTTTATGGTTGTCATATGGATTTACCATAATTTTTTATGTTTTTTATTTTTTAATTATAAAATAAATACATGGTCATAATAAATGTTTAAACACATATGGAAATGTAATAAAGTTTAGCACTCTTTTTCCTTCTCTGTTGCTCCTAAGCTGTGTGAGATAATCAGTATTAATTAGGTGTGCCTCTTTCTGTACTAATCTTAAGCTCATATAAACATATATACACATAAGACTTTATTTTTATTTAGAAAAATTATATTATACTATACATTATATTATACATATTACTCTGTAACTTGCTTTTTCTTTAACTTGCTTTTTCAACTTGCTTATCTTTATACATATTACTCTGTAACTTGCTTTTTCAAACATAATTTATCATAAGTAACTCTCCAGTTGAAGAATACAGAATCTAATATAACTCATTGTATCAGTCAGGGTTCAACAAGAGAAGCATAACCAATAGGAGATGTATTATTATTAAGAGATTTATTATAAGGAATTGCCTTATGTGATTGTGAAGCCTGGCTAAGCAACTCCAGGCAGTCAGGAATCAAAGATCATGGGCAGGCTTGAACTCATGAGCATAGGCCAAAGCTGTCATCTATAGGGCTTGTAAGTCTGAAGCTGTGTGGCAAAATTTCTTCTCTTGGGGGAGACCTCAGCCTTTCTTGTTTTTTTTTTTTTTAAGTGGCAAAAACACTTACCATGAGCTCTATACTTTTCACAAATTTTTAAGGGCACAATATAGTAATGTTAGCCATAGGCTCATTGTTGTACAACAAGTCTCTAGGACTTATTCATATCTTGTGTAAATGGAACTTTATAGCTATAGAAAAGCAGCTTCCCATTTTCCCCTCCTTCCAGCCTCTAGAATCACCATTCTGCTCTCTGTATCTATGAGTTTGACTAGTTTAGATGCTTCATATTCATACAAATACAGGATTTGTCCTTCTGTGACGGCATTATTTTAATTAGCAAATGTCCTCCAGATTCATCCATGTTGTCACATATGGCAGAATTCCCTTCCTTTTTAGGGCTGAATAATATTCCTGTATGTGTGTGTGTGTGTGTGTGTGTGTGTGTGTGTGTGTGTGTGTATGTATACAAAAATACATACCACATTTTCTTTATCCCTTTATCCATCCTCAGACATTTAGATTGTTTCCATATCATGGCTATTGGGAATAATGCTGCAATGAAGCTAAGAGTACTGATATCTCTTCAAGATCCTGATTTCAGTTATTTTGGATATATACCAAGAAGTGGGTTACTGGATCATATGTTAGTTCTATTTTTAATTTTATGAGGAACCTCCATAATGTTTTCCATAATGACTAAATCATTTTAATTCCCGACAGTTTACTGTGGTTCCAGTTTCTCCACATTCCTGCCAATACTTATTATCTTTTGTTTCTTTGATAATAGCTCTGTAAACAGGAGTGAGGTGATATTTTATTATGGTTTAGATTTGCATTTCCCTGATGATTAGTGATGTCCTTTTTTATATACCTGTTGGCCATTTATATGACTTATTTGAGTACATGTCTATGCAAGTCCTTTGCCCATTATTTTTAATCAAGTTATTTGTTTTTTTGCTATTGAGTATAGAAGTATCTTATATATTTTGGAAATTAACCCCTTATCGGATATATAGTTTGCAAATATTTTCTCCCATTGCATAGATTGCATTTTTAATCTGTTGTTTCTTTCCTTTGCTGTGCTGAAACATTTTAGTTTGATGTAGTCCTATTTTTCTACTTTTGCTTTGTTGCCTATGCTTTTGGTATCATATCCAAGACATCATTGTCAAGATTTTTCCCTCTTTTCTTCTAGGAGTTTTACAGTTTCAAGTCATACATTTAAGTCTTCAGTGCACTTTGCATTGATTTTCATGTATGGTGTAAGGTAGAAGTTCAATTTCGTTCCTTTTCATGTGGATATCCACTTTTCACAGAACCATTTGTTGAGTAAACTATATTTTCCCCATTGTGTACTCTTGGCAGCCTTGTCAAAGATATGTTGACTGTATATGTGTGGGTTTCTTCTGGGCTCTCCCTCATGTTCAATTGGTCTATATGTCTGTCTTTATGCCAGCACCATACTGTTTTAATTACTGTAGCTTCATAGTATACTTTGAAACAGGAATTGTGATGCCTCCAGCTTTGTTCTTCTCCCTCAAGATTGCTTTAGCTATTATGGGTCTTTTGTGTTTCCACATGAATTCTAGGATTGATTTTTTTGTTTCTTTAAAAAATGCCATTGGGATTTTGATTGGATTGCATTGAATCTGTAGATGACTTTGGGTGTGAATGGGCATTTAACAACATTAAGCCTTCCACTACAAGAAAAGTAAACTGCAGACCAATATCCCTAACAAAATACATGGGAAAATCCTCAATAAAACACTAGTAAACAAAATTCAACAGTACAATAAAAGGATCATACACCATGACCAAGTGGGATTTATCCCTGGGATACAAGGATTGTTCAATATATATAAATCAATTAATGTGATACACCACACTAACAAAATGAAGGAAAAAAATCACACGATCATCTTTATAGAGGCAGAAAAATCATTTGACACAATTCAACACCCTTTTATGATAAAAACTATCAAGGTATAGAAGGAAATTACCTCAACATAATAAAGGCCATGTATGGAAGGCTCACAGTTAACATCATAGTTAATGGGGAGAAGCTGAAAGCTTTTTCTCTAAGATCAGGTACAAGAAGGATGCCCACTTTCAACACTTCTAGTCAAAATAGTAGTGGAAGTCCTAGCTAGAGCAATTAGGCTTAATTAATTAATTAATGCCTCCAAATCAGGAAGGAAGAAGTAAAATTATTCCTGTTTCCAGATAACATCATCTCATGTATAGAAAACCCTAAAGACTCCACCAAAAGCTCTTACATCTAATAAATGAATTCAGTAAATTAGTAGGATACAAAGTCAACACAAAAAAGAAGTTGTGTTTCTATACACTAACAACAACCTCTCTGAAAAAGAAATTAAGCAAACAATCCCATTTACAGTTGCATCAGAAAGAATATAATACTTAGGAATAAACTTAACCAAGGAGGTAAAAGACTGGTACATGGAAAACTACAAAATATTGCTGAAAGAAATTAAAGAAGACACAAATAAATAGGCATTCTGTGTTCATGGAACAGAAGACAATGTTGATAAAATATCCATTTTACTGAAAGCCATCTGTAGACTCAATATGATCCTATTAAAACTCCAATGACATTTTTTACAGAAATTGAAAAAAAGGACAATCCTAAAATTCATGAGGATCCACAATACACCCATGAGAGAGAAGAACAAAGCTGGAGGCATCACAATTCCTGATTCTAAATATATTACAAAGCTACAGTAATTAAAACAGTATGGTGCTGGCATAAAGACAGACATATAGACTAATGGAATAGGATAGGGAGCTCAGAAATAAACCTACATGTATATATTCAACATATCTTCAACAAGGGTCCCAAGAATACACAATTGGGAAAGGATAGTTTTTCAATGAATGGTGTTGTGAAAACTGGATATCCACATGCAAAAGAATGAAATTGAACTCCTACCTTATACCATACATGAAAATCAGTTCAAAGTGAACTGGAGGCTTAAACATATGATTGGAGACTGTAAAAATACTAGAAGAAAACATTGGAGAAATACTTCTTGACATTGTTCTTTGGCAATGATTTCTTGAATATGACACCAAAAACATGGACAGCAAAGCAAAAATAGACAAGTGGGACTACATACAACGAAAAAGCTTATGCACAGCAAAGGAAAGAAACAACAGAACAAAAAGACAACCTATTAAATGGGAGAAAATATTTGCAAACCATATATCTGATAATTTCCAAAATATATAAGGATCTCCTACAACTCAATTAGCCAAAAACCAAGTAACTCAATTAAAAAATTCACAAAGAACTTGCACAGACATCTTGGTTATTTCATTAATTACTTACTTTTTGCCATTCAATTTTTTTTTCTTCTGAAAGTTTCGTTAAGTCTATATACATTTTCTGTTGTAATCACTTATCTTTGACTCATTTTTTTTCTTTTCTTTGTGTTTTTGCTTTTGGTTGTGAAATATCTTTCCACTTTATACTATATTTTATTCAACCATTCTCCATTTAACAGCCTCTTAACTCATAATCTCACTTTTTTGCCCCTCTATACATTGAAATGCATTGTTGTAAGTCTTTGTCCAAGTTTCTGACCACTTTCCTTTTTTTGCTTTTCAAAACTTTTGATATATCTTGGCAAAATTACTCTTCCAGAAAATTTGTACTAATTTATACATTTAAGAAAGGTCTATGTTTCTCATAACAAAGTCATGTATTTTTTATGTTATAGGCTTTGAAATTTCTGAAAATCAGAAGAGGCAGGCTGCAATGACTGTGAGAAAAGTCCCGAAACAAAAAGGTAAAACTGCCTTTAACTACAAACTCCCTGACCTCACCCACTCTCGTTGTGAGACTGAGAAGCCATAGGCTATGTGCTTGCATATTCCTAGGCTTGTTTCCATGCTAAAGTTCACTTGGGGTGGTGGGAAATGACCAGATACCCAGGTGTCCCTGATGACAGTTGGCAAATGGTCTTAAAAGACTTAAGGTTTAGGAGTGAATAATTTAAGGCAGTCATGTCCAAAGATAGTGCATTGGGTACAGGTAAAAATAGAACCTCTGTTTCCTTTATTTTCACTTAAATAAAAGAAACTAAACTTTACTAACAATTTTGAAACAGTTGGACAATAGTAAATTTGTAGAATTTATTAATATGTATAAATATATTAGGGTTATGTGCATAACAATTCTTTCATTGGTTTGGGAGCATTTGTGAAATCAGGAACCCCAAATCAGAATGGACAACTTCAAACTGAACCTAGACAGAAGATTCAGATAGTTATTCTCTTTTTGAACCATAAAGTATTTAAAAAAGAAAAATACCTTGGGGATCAATCTGAATATGAAATGAAGCTTTATTTTCTCATTTTCCTGAACTAGAAAAAATTAAAATGCTTAATTAAACAAAAGCTAGGAACTATCCCTTCTTTTTTTCGAGAACCTATTCAGTACCAGTCATTCTATATAAGTTCCTTCATTTCATTTTTATGGTACCCCTGAAAAGGCAGGCATTATTAGCCCCATTTTCCAGATGAAGAAACTGAGGATCTTTGGGATAAAGTGACTCTGAACTTAAGTCAGCTTGACTCCAAGTCCTCTGATCTCTCCTCTCCATCTCAGGGTTCTGATGATCCTCCATGATGGGAAAACACAGCTCACTTTTTTGTCTTGCCTCAATTACTGACAGCTCTTTCTATTACTGACAGCCACTATCATTGTCCCCAGGGTAGGCAATCTTTTTTTTTTTAACATCTTTATTGGGGTATAATTGCTTTACAATGGTGTGTTAGTTTCTGCTTTATAACAAAGTGAATCAGTTATACATATACATATGTTCCCATATCTCTTCCCTCTTGCACCTCCCTCCCTCCCACCCTCCCTATCCCTCCAGACGGTCACAAAGCACCGAGCTGATCTCCCTGTGCTATGTGGCTGCTTCCCACTAGCTATCTACCTTACGTTTGGTAGTGTATATATGTCCATGCCTCTTTCTCGCTTTGTCACAGCTCACCCTTCCCCCTCCCCATATCCTCAAGTCCGTTCTCCAGTAAGTCTGTGTCTTTATTCCTGTCTTACCCCTAGGTTCTTCATGACATTTTTTTTCTTAAATTCCATATATATGTGTTAGCATATGGTATTTGTCTTTCTCTTTCTGACTTACTTCACTCTGTATGACAGACTCTAGGTCTATGCACCTCATTACAAATAGCTCAATTTCATTTCTTTTTATGGCTGAGTAATATTCCATTGTATATATGTGCCACATCTTCTTTATCCATTCATCTGATGATGGGCACTTAGGTTGTTTCCATCTCTGGGCTATTGTAAATAGAGCTGCAATGAACATTTTGGTACATGACTCTTAATGAGACTTCACTTTCCCTAGGTCCTCCCTTGTGCTCTTTTAAAGGGCTGTTTGGTTCAGAATGAGTCACCATATAAAATGATCAGATTCAAGTTGCCTGAAATTCTAGCAGCCACATAAAGCACCCTTAATTATTCCTAATGAGGTTCCTTTTCATTGAGGAGGCTGAGTGCCTGTGAAGATCTGATTTCCAGTTGAGGAGTGCACCTGGCTTGGGCCTCTGGCTAGACATGGCCTTCCTTCCAACTGTTTGTTGCTTCTTACTCTTGGGAGGCCCTCACTGGCACTTTCCCTCATCATGGAAATATGATTCACTTTAGATAGGGAATTAAAGGCAACCACTTCTAACTTCTTAGGCGTGAAAACATGATAATTTAGAAAGTAATCTGGAGTTCATAACAGTAAGTCTATGATCTATATGAATAGTAGAATCCTTTGAGAGAATGTGCTTCTTCCTTAGAGATATAAGCCCCAGCCACCTGGACAGTCCTCAGGTTACAAAGTGGTTACTGTCCTACTGGCCCACCTCTGTCTCCTGGAGGCTCTCACCTCCTGAGCTTCTCTCACTCTGAATTCCTCCACTGTCTCTACCACACTAACCTTCATGATGGGATGGTGTTCCTTTACTTCAGCCCAAGTTCCCTCAAGTCTATCTGAGACTGGCTTATCTTTTCACTGAGAAACCATAAAGCAGAGGAACATGCACAAAGCAACGAACTAGAAAACAATCCTACTCGCTCATACCAAACCTTTGTGTCAGGTTCCTTCTCTGCCTTGTCTCAAGGCTATCCCTTGCATGTCTTCTCTTGTCTCCCAATATTTAAACAATGGTTCACCTAAACAGCTTTCCATGTTTAATAGCAATCCTGAAGTCTTCAAAGAAACTTATCTAGTCTTAAACTTCACAGAATTCCTAAAAATTGATTCCCTTATTTCTATTTCGAGTTTTCAAGGCTCTCCTAGTCCAGGGCTGTGGTAACTGATATATTTTGAGACTCAAGGGCACTACACATGTAGAAGTGATTGTACAGCTTAGTAGTACAATAGTTTTATCATATACATAGGAAGAGCAAGAAGGGAGTTCTCTCAGATACCTGAGAAAGCCAGCTTTCTTAATCCTGCCAATAACTCCTTCCTGGAAGTGATGGGGAGCATTGTTGTTAGGATTTCTCTAGTTCAGATTTAATACAGATTCCAACACAATCTGTAATGCCATGGGACCTTATTAACTCAGTCTACTCTTCTAGAGAAGGGGAAGCCTGGCTGGAAGAAAAGCAGAGAGGACAGAGCCTAGCTCCAAGGGAGGCCTTTTCACTTTACATTTGCCTTTTTACACTGCATTGTTTTTAAGAATTGATATATAACTTCTTGAGAGTTGGTTGCTAATTCCTGGTTCATCAACCCATTTCAGTTTGTCATCATGGAGCTCCCTAGGGCCATGAGTACAGTCCCAATCTCCAGAGGCTTTAGGGCCAGCTCAAAATCAAATGAGTACCCCAGAATAACTAAAATAAACTTGAAATAGAATAAAGTTTGAATAATAAGTCTACCCTGATTTGAAAACTAATTATATAGCTACAATAACCAAGACAGTCTGGTGTTCGTAGAGGGATAGACATGTTAGATCAATGGAACAGAATAGAGAAACCAAAAACAGACCTACACAAATATGCCCAACTGATTTTTCACAAAGGTACAAAAGCAATTCAGTGGAGGAAGGATGCCTTTTAAACAAATGGCACTGAAGCAATTGGGCTTCCACAGGCCGAAAGTAAAAATAATCTCAACCTAATTTCACACCCTATAAAAATTAACTCAAAATAGATAATGAACTTAAATTTAAAGCTACAAAACTTTTAGAAAACAGTAGGAGAAGATCATCAGGATTTAGGTCTAGGCAAAGAAGTTCTTAGAACTGACACCAAAAGCTTGAACTATAAAATAAAAAATTGATAAAATTAACCTCATCAAAATAGAAAATTTTGCCCCATGAAAGACCATGTAAAGAGGATGAAAAAACAAGCTACAGGCTAGGGAATATATTTGCGAACCACGTATCTGACAAAACATTGGTATCTAGAATATATAAAGAACTCTCAAACCTCAATAGTAAGGGCTTCCCTGGTGGCACAGTCGTTGAGAATCTGCATGCCAATACAAGGGACACGGGTTTGAGCCCTGGTCTGGGAAGATCCCACATGTTGCGGAGCAACTAGGCCCATGAGCCACAACTACTGATCCTGTGCATCTGGAGCTTGTGCTCCACAAGAGAGGCCACGACAGTGAGAGGCCCATGCACCGTGATGAAGAGTGGCCCCCACTTGCCGCAACTAGAGAAAGTCCTTGCACAGAAACTAAGACCCAACACAGCCATAAATAAATAAATAAAATTTTAAAAACTCAATAGTAAAAACAAACAAACAAAACTACACACTTCAATTAGAAAATGGGCAAGACAGATAATTCACTGAAGAGGATATATGGATATCAGTTACACACATGAAAAGATGTTCAATATTATTAATCATTGGAAATATGTAAATTAAAACCACAATGAGATGTCATTACATATCTATTACAAAGGCTAAAATAGAAAAAAATTGTGAAAACACCAAATGTTGGCAAGGGTGCATGGAAACAGAATCATTCATACCTTGCTTGTGAGAATGTAAAACAGTACAGCCACTATTTTATGTAATAGTTTGGTAGTTTCTTAAGACATAAAACATACAACTACCAAATGACCCAGCAATGACACATCTGGGCATTTATCCCAGAGAAACAAAAACTTATTGTCACTTGAAAACTTCTAAACAAATACCCATAGCAGCTTTTTCATAATAGCCCAAACTAGAAACAATGTAGATGTCTTTCAATGGGTGTAATTAAGCAGATTCTGGTACATCTATACCATGGAATATAACACATCAATAAAAAGGAGCCAACTATTGGTACATAAACCAACTTGGGATAATTTCTAAGGATTCATGCTGATTGAGAAAAGCCAACATCCAAAGGTTACATATGGTATAACTCCATTTATATAACATTCTTCAGATGATATAATTTGGAAATAGGGAACATATTAGTGCTTGCCAGGGGTTAAGGAGGGAGTAGGGAAAGGAAAGAAGTGAGTGTGGTTATAAAAGAATAACACGAGTAATCCTTGTGATGATAGAAATGTTATGACTCTTGACTGTATCCTGTAACAATGTTAATATCCTAGCTGTAATATTGTAATATAGTTTTGCAAAATGCTATCATTGGAGAAATTGAGTAAAGGGTGCAAGGTATATCTCTATATTTTCTCTTACAACTGCATGTGAATCTACAATGATCTCAAAATAAAAAGCTTAATTTAAAAAATAAAATGAGCACTCCCCAAATTCCCTCCCTAATATCTACATATAATTGTTTGGCCTCTGGAACACTTG